GAGGTGCTTTAACAGGGGAGGGAGGGGTTGCAGTGCGGCGTGCTCCAGCCGGGGGCCGGGAGACTGGGGGGAAATCAGTGAAAAAAAAAAAAAAAAAAAAAAAAAAAAAAAAGAAAGAAAGAGGCTACTATCCAAACCTCTGAAGTTCTTCAAGTGTCTCTGCCTGATCCCTTCACATGCCACCCCGCCCCCTAAGGTAACTAGTATCTTGAATTTTATGTTTGCCACCATTCCTTTATTTTGTTGAGTATTTTTACCCAAGTTTGTATGCATTCCTAAACTAAATTTTATTTCATTTTATATGTTTTTGGATGCTTTATAAATTGAATTATGCTATGTATTCTTTGATGAACTACACATTTAAAAAAATAAATTCTTGGAAAGTTATCATAATGATATTAACCTGTAGTTCTTTCTTCCATCACCTCTCTGCTTCTGTTCACTTTGTTCAGCTTGCTCCCTTAATTCCTTTTCTAAGATTATTGTTCCACCTTGAAACACTTTTCCTACTTCTATAGACCCCAAAATTGTACTCACCCTCCGGGGTCGAAATCAGGTCTTTCTTCCTGTTTGTTCTTCCGAAGCACAAGCCTTCTGTGCTGTTTTGCCTCTCAAACTTATTGCTTAGCTCGCTAAAACTCACTTGTCACGAATCGTCTTTCCTTGTTATATAATCTTTTAATCTGCATTATGTTACCTATGTCTCTAAACTACTTGGGGGCCATGACTATATATTATCATTCTTTTTTAAATTCTTCAGTTTCTGACTCAAAAAACACAATTGATAAATGTGTTTAGTGAGGCATTTTTATAGTGTACATCTTGGAGGAAAGAAACAAAATATTACTGTTGACTAAGTGGGCTAAGAACGGGATCAACTGTCACAACAGGATTCACTTCTTGGCTCTGGTTAAGATTAACTGTCTCATTTTTCTCACTCACCTGTCTCATAGTAATCATAGACTTTAACAATCGCTGGCTTCAGGTCTCTTACTGGGACGTCTTGCAGAACCGTGAAGGAAAAACTTAGTGTTTGATTTGTCACCTAAAAGGAAAAGTGGGAGTAATCAAGAACCTAGAAAGCCTCCTTCTTTCTCCCATGAGCAAAACATATTCTTTACTGTTCTTTGATTCTTTTTCACCAGTGTCTACAGGTGAGCAGACATTTGTGGATGTCAGGTTTTAGAACACATCCTTGGGAACTCTTTACAGTGAGCAAATTTTTACAGATTTTCTTGTAAGCAACGGAGACAACCATATTCTTTTGTAGTCCCTTGTTATGAGATTAATTCTCTGGGCCCACGTGAACATGTTCTAAGCTGGAGAAACATGGTTTCATACAATCTGTAATTAAAACGACAAAGTATTCTTTCTGTTTGGATACATAACACATTTTCTTTGTTTTATGGTAATATTTGAAGTTATTCATGAAATCCACATTTTATTTTATATGGTGACATACTGGAATGTTAACATTATTATTAGTCAATCATTGGGGTCATATTCAGTCATTTTGTGAAGGTGGTCTTTAAAATAACAGGAATGCATAATAAACCTTTTGTCCTATTAACACGTTAAATTTAATATTTATTCATATTGTCGGGGAGGGTCTTTAAAACAACAGGAGCACTGGCAAACCTTTTGTTCTATTGATACTACACTTTAAATTTTGTGGAAATACTCATATTCCCATTTTAACATAATTAAAATAGAACAGAACACTACATGGAGTTCAAAGGAGATTTCCCCTCTTCTTTTCTTGGCATAGAGAAACGTTCTGGAAGGGCATGAGTGTTTTCCTTATATTGATTATTTACTATTCTAGTAAAGAGACTCACTTAGAGAGATGACCTATATGTCGTCTCAGCCAGGACGTCAGAGCCCTCACCTGTTCCACATAAATAAGGACATGGTTGTTGCTCAGTTCTGTCCGGCTCACGGAGCTCGATCTTTCAAGCTGAAGAGAAGTGGAAAACTCAAAAAGTTAGAAAATACATGTGAGAATGCTGTGAGACCTAGAGCAGATTGTAATAAGGGACAAATAGCCATTCTCTGAAGAGAAGAAAGCTAACTGTTTTCAGGTAAGGAGTTCCACTATTCTTCAATATCCAAGTAACACATGAGACCCTCTGGCATCCTTGTTACTTCTAGTTTACATTGATTTTTTTTCCTTCACAAACTTTTAGTGCATATCAGTCAGTATGGTTCTTAAACCATATCCTGTCTCTCTTGGGTTGTTTTATTTTTTGTGCCCATGGCTTTAAATTCCTAACTAAACTGCAAGTGGCTGAAGGATAGGGACTCCTTGTGCATTTATCTGGTATCACATATGTCCCTTAGCTTAGTGCCAGAGAAATGTCCGTTTACTTCCTGGGTTCGGGGAAAATATTTTTTTGAGGCAGAGTAATGTTGACATGGCTTTGATATTGGTATGGTCTAATTTGGAGATACAGAACATCCTTTTGTATGAGGTCTGTTAGGATTAAAATACACCTACCATTTTTACTGTTGGCTTTAGGGGAATAAAACCAGATACCATCTTTACATCAACAATCGCCATATTGGAAGCAGGACGGTTTCCTGTGTAACTGTAGTATCAAAGAAAAAAGAAGTTAGGGTTTCTTATGTGAAACAAAGCCAGATTTTCACTTCCAAGAGTCACCTTAAACCTGTCTGTCTTTAAGACGTTGTCCCTAACAATATTCCGCAAAGATCTGTGTCCCCTGGACATGTACAACATTGACATTGGCCACATGACTATACATCAGATGTTAAAGCAGCAATCCAAAACTATCAAATGAAAATCTTCGGTAGTGAATCTTGCTAACTGGCATTTTAAGGATATCTATGGTTTTTGGACACCTCATCTATATGGTTCATTTGTTATTTAGTATATATCACTTTTATATTTTTAGTAGAGAAAGGATCATGTCATAATGATAAAAGGCTAAATTCATTTATAGATATATCAATTCTAAATTATATTAATCTAATAACATAGCTTCCAAATGGACTATTAATTTCTGTTAGTTCTGGCTGGGTGCAGTGGCTCATGTCTGTAATTCCAGCACCTTGGGAGGCCGAGGTGGGAGGATTGTGTGAGATCTGGAGTTCGAGACCAGCCTGGTCAACATGGTGAAACCCTGTCTCTAGTAAAAATATTTTAAAAATTAGCCAGGTGCGGTGGCAGGCTCCTGTAATCCCAGCTGGTCTGTAGGCTGAGGCTGGAGAATCACTTCAACCTGGGATGTGGAGGTTACAGTGAGCCCAGATTGCACCATTGCACTCTAGCCTAGGCAACAAGAGTGAAACTTCACCGCAAAAAAAAAAAAAATTCTGTTAGTTCCAAGTTGCTTTTGGGTCAAAGATCAGTTGATTAGGTCAGAACATCTTACCTGATGGTCAGTGAGATCTCGAAGCTGGTGTGGGCTTTGTGTCCATCACAAGTCTGGGGCACAGTCTGCACTTTCAAAGTAAATGGAGAGTCCTCTTTCTCTGGAAGGATATTGTATTTCATGGATGTCTGTGAAACCAAAGAGACACTATCAGTTTCTCTCTTTTTCTGGGAGCACTCACTTCCTCATTATTTAACATCTCCAGATTTGTCCTTTACTTTTCCAGGAAGTAAGGAGCAGAGCTTTCATTTCAACTGGCAAGTTTAAAGTTGGCTCTCCCCGATATAACCTTGGAGACTCACCTGAAGATATACACATCTTTCCCCAGTTACTGTTATCACATATTCTCCAGGCAGCTCTGGCAATGAGGTCTGCTGCAGTAGCAGGAGGTTGTTGTTGTCTACTTGGAAATTTGTGGAAAAGGTCTGTGAATCCTTAACGGTGACCTGTGCAGTTTTCTCAGTTCTGGTGAAAGTGGCTGCTCCATACCTGGACAGGGCATGGAGAGCCACCACTGTGTCCTGGAAGAGATGAGTGGACAACCACCCCAAAGCGTAAATTTTTGGCACCTAGGATTTTCCCTCAAAGTCTGTGTTAACCACCATGAGGGAAGCTGGTTTTTCACCCCTAAAGTAGATCTTCACTAATTGCTTTTCCTTTTTCTGTGCCTTTCAGGCATTATCAAAATTGTGCTATAGTTTCTCCAAATGAAATAAGCGGCTACTAATGTTTATTAATTTCACAATATCTACGGTCTTCTTCGATATATCCTTCAAAGAATAGGTCTAAAACTAAGAAGTTAAGACAAAAAGAGTGACCTTTTTAAAGTAGATGATTGATGACCAATTAGATGGAAGAGTGATAAAAATGTACTGTTCATAACCAGTAGCAACCACTCCAGGAACGTACCAAATGGTAAAAAGCATCGACACAATGAAGAAACTGCATCAACTAATGGGGAAAACACCCAGCTAGCATCAAAATGTCAGGATCAAATTCACAGATAACAATATTAACCTTAAATGTAAATGGGCTAAATGCCCCAAACAAAAGATACAGACTGGCAAATTGTATAAAAAGCCAAAACCCATCAGTGTGCTGTATTCAGGAAACCCATCTCACGTGCAAGGACACACATAGGCTCAAAATAAAGGGATGGAGGAAGATTTACCAAGAAAATGGAGAGCAAAAAAAAGCAGGAGTTGCAATCCTAGTCTCTGATAAAATAAACTTTAACCAACAAAGATCAAAAGAGACAAAAAGGGCATTACATAATGGTAAAAGGATCAATGCGACAAGAAGAGCTAATGATCCTAAATATATACGCACTGAATACAGCAGCATCTAGATACATAAAGCAAGTTCTTAATGACATACAAAGAGACTTAGACTCCCACAAAATAATAGTGGGAGACTTTAACACTCCATTGTCACTATTAGACATATCAACAAGACAGAAAATTAACAAGGATATCCAGGACTTGAACTCAGATCTGGACCAAGCAAACCTAATAGACATTTACAGAACTCTCCACCCCAAATCCACAGAATATACATTCTTCTCAGCACCGCATCACACCTACTCTAAAATTGACCACATAATTAGAAGTAAATCACTCCTTAGCAAATGCAAAAGAATGGAAATCATAACAAACAGTCTCTCAGGCCACAGTGCAATCAAGAATTCAGAAACTAACTCAGAACCGCAGAACTTCATGGAAACTGAACAACTGGCTCTTGAACGTTGACTGGATAAACAATGAAATGAAGGCAGAAATAAAGATGTTCTTTGAAACCAATGAGAATGAAGACAAAACATACCAGAATCTCTGAGACACATTTAAAGCAGTGTCTAGAGGAAAATTTACAGCAATAAATGCCCACATGAGAAGAAAGGAAAGATCTAAAATCGACAACCTATCAACGAAATTGAAAGAGCTAGAGGAGGAAGATCAAAAAAACTCAAAAGCTAGCAGAAATAACCAAGATCAGAGCAGAACTGAAGGAGATGGAGACACAAAAATCTCTTCAAAAAAATCAATAAATCCAGGAGCTGGTTTTTTGAAAAGATCAACAAAATAGACAGACTGCTAGCCAGACTAATAAAAAAGAAAAGACAGAAGAATCAAATAGATGCAATAAAAAACGATAAATGGGATATCACCACCGATTCCACAGAAATAAAAACTACCATTGGAGATTACTACAAACAACTCTATGCACATAAACCAGTAAACTTGAAAGAAATGGATACATTCCTGGATACTTGCACCCTCACATGGCTAAACCAGGAAGAAGTTGAAACCCTGAAGAGACCAATAACAAGGGCTGAATTTGAGGCAGCAATTAATAGCCTACCAACCAAAAAAAGCCCAGGTCCAGATGGGTTCACAGCTGAATTCTACCAGACATACAAAGAGAAGCTGGTACCACTCTTTCTGAAATTATTCCAAACAATCCAAAAAGAGGGAATCCTTCCCAAATCATTTTATGAGACCAACATCACCCTGGTACCAAAACCGGGCAGAGACTCAACATGAAAGAAAACTTCAGGCCATTATCCGCGATGAACATAGATGCAAAAATCTTCAATAAAATACTGGCAAACTGATTGCAACAGTACATCAAGAAGTTTATCCAACACTATCACTTCATCCTGGGGATGCAAGGCTGGTTCAACATAGGCAAGTCTATAAACGTAATCCACAACATAAACAGAACCAAAGACAAAAACCACATGATTATCTCAATTGATGCAGGGAAAACCTTTAATAAAATTCAATAGCGCTTTATGCTAAAAACTCTCAATAAACTAGGTATTGACAGAATGTATCACAAAATAATAAAAGCTATTTATGACAAAGCCACAGCCAATATCATACTGAATGGGAAAAAACTGGAAGCATTCCCTTGAAATCTGGCACTAGACAAGGATGCCCTCTCTCACCACTCCTATTCAATGTAGTATTGGAAGTTCTAGCCAGAGCAATCAGGCAAGAAAAAGAAATAAAGGGTATTCAAATAGGAAAGGAGGAAGTCAAACTGTCTCTATGTGCAGATGACATGATTGTATATTTAGAAGACCCGACCGTCTCAGCCCAAAATCTCCTTAAACTGATAAGCAACTTCAGCAGTCTCGATAGAAAATCAATGTGCAAAAATCACAAGCATTCCTATACACCAATAACAGATTTAAAGAGAGTCAAATCAAGAACAAACTGCCATTCACAATTGCTACAAAGAGAATAAAATACCTAGGAATACAACTAACAAATGATGTAAAGGACCTCTTCAAGGATATCTACAAACCACTGCTCAAGGAAATAACAGAGGACACAAACAGATGGAAAAATATTTCATGCTCATGGTTAAGAAGAATCAATATTGTGAAAATGGCCATACTGCCCAAAGTAATTTGTAGTTTCAATGCTATCCCCATCAAGCTACCTAAGACCCTCTTCACAGAACTGAAAAAAACCACTTTAAACTTCATATGGAACCAAAACAGAGCCTGCATAGCCAAGACAATTCTAAGCAAAAAGAACAAAGTTGGAGGCATCATGCTACCTGACTTCAAATTATACTACAAGGCTACAATAATCAAAACAGCATGGTACTGATACCAAAACAGAGATATAGACCAATAGAACAGAGGTCTTGGAGGCAATGACACACATCTACAACTACCTGATCTTTGACCAAACCTGACAAAAACAAACAATGGGGAAAGAATTCCCTGTTTAATAAATGGTGTAGGAAAAACTGGCTAGCCATGTGTAGAAAGCAGAAACTGAACCCCTTCCTGACACCTTACACTAAAATAAACTCCAGATGGATTAAAGACTTAAACATAAGACCTAGTACCGTAAAAACCCTAGAAGAAAACCTAAGCAAAGCCATTTAGGGCATAGGCATAGGCAAGAAGCTCATTACTAAAACACCAAACGCATTGGCAACAAAAGCCAAAATAGAGAAAAGGGATCCAATTAAACTGCAGAGCTTTTGTACAGCAAAAGAAACAATCAGTAGAGTGAACCGGTAACCAACAGAAGGGGAAAAAATTTTTGCAATCTATCCATCTGATAAAGGGCTAATATCCAGAATCTACAAAGAACTAAAACAGGTTTACAAGAAAAAAACAAACCCATTCAAAAGTGGGCGAAGAACGTAAACAGACACTTTTCAAAAGAAGACATATATGAGGCCAAAAAACATATTAAAAACTGCTCATCATCACTGGTAGTTAGAGAAATCCAAATCAAAACTATATTGAGATAGCATCTCACTCCAGTTAGAATGGCGATTACTAAAAAATCTGGAGACAACAGATGCTGGAGAGGATGTGGAGAAATAGGAACACTTTTACACTGTTGGTGGGAGTGTAAATTAGTTGAACCATCATGGAAGACAGTGTGGCGATTCCTCAAGGACCTAGAAATAGAAATTCCATTTGACCCAGCAATCCCATCACTGGGTATATATCCGAAGGATTATAAATCCTTCTATTATAAAGACACATGCACATGTATGTTCATAGCGGCACTGTTTACAATAGCAAAGACCTAGAACCAACCCAAATGCCCATCGACTATACACAGGACAGGGAGAATGTGGCACATATACACCATGGAATACTATGCAGCCATCAAAAACGATAACTTCATGTCCCTTGTAGGGACATGGATGAATCTGGAAACCATCATTCTCAGCAAACTCACACAAGAACAGAAAATCAAATACTGCATGTTCTCACTCATAGGTGGGTGTTGAATAATGAGAACACATGGACACAGGGAGGCGAGCATCACACACTGGGGTCTGTTGAGGGGAATAGGGGAGGGACCGAGAAGGTTAGGGAGGTTGGGGAGGGATAACATGGGATGAAATGCCAGATACAGGTGACAGAGGGATGGAGGGAAGATTCTATCTTGCCATGTATGTACCTATGAAACAATCCTGCATGTTCTGCACATGTACCCCAGAACCTAAAGAGCAATTATATATACATATATGTATATATATGAACATAAGAAGTTTAATAAATGTCATCGTATGCAAAAGAAATTTTACTGTTCATAATAAGAATGGTATGAGTCAAGTTCTTTCTTATTTTTCTTTTCATCTAGCTTGGTTTTTCTTCCCCCACCCAATCTCTCTGGAAAACAAGTTTCACTATGTAGATCCTAATGATGAAAGAAGACATGGGAGCAAAAAGCCAGACTCTGGATGTTTAATACAATCATTTATACTCTCGATAAAATATTTTTAGAATTATGCTAGAAAAATATATTTTCAAGAGCTTCAGCTTAAAAAAAAATCAACCTAAATGGAAAGTAGGAAGAGCACTCTCGGACAAAGTAGAAAGGAGTGAAGAGGCAGAGTTACTTGTAGTTGAAATGGAACTTCTCAATCATAAAAATATCAATGTGAACTTTACTTAGTCACAGTCCTTTTAATCAATTTTTTTTGGGGGGATTCATCTTAGAGATTTCTTGTTAGATTCTGAAGATGTCTGGAATGTTGATTCCCAACAGAAGGATTTTTTTCTTGTTTCAACTCGAAGTGGGGTGCTACTGGCATCTAAGGGGGAGAGGCCAGGGATGCTATTGAACATCTTAAAATGCGGAGGATAGCTCCTTTACAATGATGATCTGGCTTCAAATATCAATAGTGTTGATGCTGAAAAGCTCTGGTCTAGAATGTGTCCATTCACCATAGCACAGCTTTAGAGGGTAAAGATGCCTGTTGTAAGTCTCCATGTTGCTGATATACTAACATAGGGCTTACTGAAAATTGTTGTGGGGGATGTCTTAAGTCTTTCCTTTAAAGTCCCATGGTCCTCAAATATTCCTTAATACTTCTTCTATGTTTTAATAATTGCCTTCTGTTTTCCTGTAACTGTTCTATTTTTAAGTCTTCCAACTGCCAAGTGAACTTGGAGCAGAAGACTCTTTGGGAACCACTGACCTGGGTAGAGGAGAAACCGCCCTGAGAGTTCTGCTGCTTCATGATCCACTTCACAATGTGCGTTGCAGTGGTCAGGTCCCCTGACGTGGGGGCTGGCTGGGCCGTGAGGTGAGCGAGGAGCACATAGGACGTCATCTCTACCTCAGCAGAGGGAGCCTGGGGTTGGTAAAAACGCCCCACTGGTGCCTTGGGTTTCTGAGGACGCTCCCAATGGATGAGGTTGTCTTAAGGGTGAGAAAAAGGAGATAATTGTAATTGGTAAATAAGCAATTGCAACTGGTAAATAAGAGAGTGCACATTCATAATACATGGAAATAATACAGGAGAAGCAAGGTCTTCTCTGTGATAAAATCCACTAAAACTCCTAAAACCCAGTGACATACTTCTATGTCGAACTTGATTTAGTTCTCTGGGATGAAGGTAGGGCAGGTTGATGGAGAAAGCAGCATAGAGCAGACACACCAATCTCTCAAATGTTATTTTAGTTGGACTGATAGAAAAGTGGTAGAGAGAGTTCCTTTATTGTTTGTGATACTTCCTGAGAGCTGCAGTATAGACTAGAGTATAAAACCTAACCGTTGATCTCAGATGACTTTTGTGAGCCTCTCTCTCTGGCAAATAGAGGTAAAAATACTTTGAAAATTTCATTGCATTTTCTTTCTTCTTTTGTATCTCTTTTCTTTCTTTTTTTTTCTCCCCAATTGAATCAGTCCCTTATTATTCCTTTGGTAATCTCTTCCAGAGTTAACTACTTCCATTGTAGGTGATAAAATATTTAAGGTTCCACTTCCAACACTGGCACTGCTATAAGCATGTTCTTTCCCATTAATTCAACTCAGAATTACAACTTTTGATTCTTGATTTTTTGTGCTCCAGTCTCAGACATCGTTTCCACTGTAGAAATTATCTCTTGACAGCCATATTGTTTCTCGTGCTGGTCTACAACCAGACTCCAGTTTCTCCAGGAACACCACAAAATGGATTGAGTTTAAATATATACTAAACTAAAAGACGCTCTTTCAAGTGAGATGGAATGCATTTTATTTTTAGACAACCTATATGACATTTTTTCTTTAACAACAATGCCTCCACTCTGAATAAATCATGGTCAAAATGAATGAAGATCTGAAGATGACATCAGACCCACTTGCCTAAGTCCTGGTGTTGTGTGGATGACAAGCAGAACCCAGTTACGAATGGTAGGCGATACATCCAAAGTAGCTGCCAAATTTGTTAACACTTTTCCATTTCTAAACCATGGAAAATCATCTATGGAGTCACACCATCCTCATGGTAGTCCAGCAGAGGCGCCATGCCATGTGGGTTCATGTTTTCACTAATAAAGAACTGGTAGTTTTTATCACTTCTTAGCCTTTTGGCTAAGATCAAGTGAAGAACTGGTAGTTTCTGAGATTAGCAAGAGTGCACCTGATTTGTTCTGTAGCTTCTGTCATTAAAGGTTTTACTCTTTCTGGTCTCTGTTCAAGTTTGCCTTTGACTTTATGTGAGCTTTGATGTACTTCTTGTAGGCTTCCTTTGTGAAATTGGTTCCTGCAAGTGATTGTTCATGACAATATCAACACCAGTGATTACTCTGCTTCCAGTATCTTTGCCTTAGGAAATGTCAGTGGAGGCATTTCCACCAATAAGCGAGTCATCAATGTCACCCTCTGTCCTACTGACCATCTTCCCCTCCACCTCCAGGCAGTCCTTCCTCCATCTCCGGATCTTGTAAATGTCAGAACATTCCAGTGTGACTGATGAGATCCGGTAGATAATTAGGATGATAGCTGAAAAGAGACTACAGCAGCGCTTGCTTAGCAGGAGTGCAGAGCATGAAGGGAGCATGGGGCAGCCAGCATGGCGTTGGGTAGGGAGTTGCGGGGGAGTGTGAAAGAGCTGTTGTACCTCTTTTTATTCAAGTAAGTGGGCAGAAATCATGAGAAAATGGATACATTTGTCTATGATATTGGTTTTAGCAAGTTAGAAATAAAATTCTGCAATTGATCTGCAGCATTATAATGATATTCTATTCTGTATAACCTATGCAGTCCCAGAGAAGATAGATTTGTAAGAGGTGTTCTGATCTCATAATGTATGACTCTTGGCTAAAGAATTACAGACGAAGCTTGTGTATTTCAGCAGGAATACATTTCTCCCCTTTATGTAGAATCAGTGTAAGTGGAGAGGGAAATTTGGTACCATTTGCTGTTTGCTCTCACCTTCTTTATTTTTGCACACTTTTTAAAACTTTTAATTTTACTTATTTCTTTTTAAAATTTTATTATTTTATTTTAAATTCTGGGATACATGTGCAGGACATGCAGATTTGTTACATAGGTAAATGTGTGCCATGGGGGTTTGCTGCATCTATCAACCCATCACCTAGTTATTAGGTCCCACATGCATTAGCTATTTATCTGATGCTCTCCCTCCCCACGTTTCCCTGACAGGCCCCAATGTGTGTTGCTCCCTCCCTGTGTCTCTGTGTTCTCATTGTTCAGCTCCCACTTATAAGTGCTCTCACCTTCTTTCACAGCTTCCTCATCAAGTGAGCTCAGTATTTCTCTACGCCGGTTTTGGTTTCCCACTAGGGAAAAAGCATAGGCCAGCAATGCCTTGGTGTAGACGTGGCTCCCATGGGTCCCCTCCTTTGCTACATTCCAGGCCGACTCCAGGCAGAACAGGGCATTGCGAACAACAGGGTGCTGTGGAGGCAAAAAGCTGGTTGTGTCAAAGCAGGGTGAATAGAACCCACAGCAAACCCAGAGCTGGATATTGACAGTCCGACGTCATTGATGGATTTCCGACAGATAGGCAGACAGCTAGATATTCATTCAATTGAAATAGAAACGTATTTTCAATCACTTCACTTTATAGTTCAATCCCAAAGACTAAGACTAGAGAACCTGTTTTTAGGATTAGTTCTGATACATAGTCTAAGGGGATTACTGGCCAAGTGTCAATCCCTCTTAATGCATCAGCCAAAGAGCTTATCCGTCTGAGAAATGCCTCATCATTGAACCAAAGGAGACTTGAGACTCAGCCCCTAACAGGGTGGCATTCCAGACAGAAGGTCTACAGTTTTCATGGTAGGGAATGGGATTGAGCTGGTACTTACAGTGACTGGGAGAGGAATCTCCAGAAGGGCAATGGTAACATAGGCAGAGAGGGTCACTTCATCTTCTACTCCTCCCTGTGAATACAACACTGATTTGATTAATTCCAATGCCAAGTGTTAGTACATTCTCTTCTGTTGTTTGATGGAAACAAATTTTCAGTATGTTTCTATCAGGTAAGGTAACACCCCCATTCAAAGTATACAATTCTCCCCCTCCTTCTCTCTCTTTTTCTTTTACATTTTTTTTTTTTTTTTTTGAAACAGGGTCTTGCTCTGTAGCTCAGGCTGGAGTGGAGCGGCACTATCACACCTCACGGCAGCCTCAAGCAATTCTCTTGCCTCAGCTTCTCAAGTAGCTACAACTACAGGCACACACTACCATGCCTGACCAATTTTGTGAAAAAGTTTTTTTTTTTTTTGTAGAGACTGGGTGTTGCTATGTTGCCCAGGCTAGTCTTGAACTCCTGGGCTCAAGCAGTCCACCCGCTTTGGCCTCCCAAAATGTTGTGATTCTAGGTGTGAGCCATTGCATCTGGCCCAATTTCTTCCTTCTCTATGGAAGGTGTAATACTCTTTCCCTGATGCCATCCCACATCATCCAGGACTTCATCTTTGCAATTTCCGGTGCCTCCTTCCTCCCCTCGCCCTTGCAGGATGCTACATTGATGTGTCATAGGCTCAGAAGTTCACGAAACAGTTCACCTTTATTGCATTGTTGAACAGTGACCCAGAGCTCCTGAAACAGCCGTTGTCCTTCTGCATCTGAGAGAGCCACGTGAGAGATTGGGTGATGTGCACTTCATCAATGAAGATGTAGGTTCGAGCCTGGGCAAAAGTCTTCAGTACAAAAGCCGTGAGCCTTAGGGGGAGGAAAAACGCAGTGCTTAGGCTGTTCTCATTCAGCATCTTACTGCTCTGTTTTGCACACCTGGACCCCCCATCACAATGTGCCCCCAAGAAAGTCAATTGGCTGTTACTGAGAGCTTGGAGACTTTTTTTCTTTTTTGCTGCCACATGTTGTTTAATCCATTACCAACTTGTCCTTGCTTCCTAAGGTATTTCTATGTCATTTTAGAGATTCAGGTTCCTTCTAGTTTTCTTGGTTGTTAACTAAGACATTTGCTTTTGCATTTTAGTCTGTATGCATTTATTTCTTTTCATTGATGTCTGAGCTTACTTTCTGTAGTTTTAACCCTACTCTAGTGAGCTAACTTCTAATGTCCAGCTTCAGTAACTATTTGCCTCCATCATCCTACCCCTCCACTTTTCTTTCCTGTGTTTGCCTGTGTGGTAAGACCACACACACACACACACACACACACACACACACACACACACACACACAAAGGATATCATCTAGCAGAGGTAGTAATGTATGCCCTGTCAGTGATAGTTGTAGTTTTTCCAGCATTTTTCTAACACCTATTAGTGCTGAACAACAATTTAAGGGGCAAGTTCCAAACTTCTAATATTCCCGTAGCAGCATGAGAAGGGAGAGAGCCTGGGTACATTGGGTTAAAAAAGTCAACCTCGAAGTAATTTTGCTGCTTCTTAGATGTTTGCTCCTGACACATTTATTTATCCACACTGGATATTAGTTTTCTCCTCTGTAAAATGAAGCTAATAACTCTCACTTCGCGGGGTAGCTATAAGAATCAAATAGGGTAACACTGTGATTTAGAAATGGTTTCTCCACCAAAACTCATGTTAAAACTTAATCCCCAATGTCATAGCATTGAGAGGTGGAGCCTTTGAGAAGTGACTGGATCATGAGAGTTCCGCCCTCACGAATGGAATCCATTTCTAGACGAAAGGCTGTCATGAGAATGGGACTGGTGGCTTCATAAGAAGAGTAGGAGATGCTATCCCAGTCTCTAAAAGTAAAGTAAAGAAAATAAAAGAAGAAGAGAGACCTGGGTGAGCACACTCAATCCTCTCGCCATATGATGCCCTGCATCATCTTGGGACTCTTCAGAGTCCACACCAGCAAGAAGACTCTCAACTAGATGCAGGCCCTTGGCTTTGGACTTAGCCTTCATGGCTGTAAGAAATAAATTTCTTTTCTGTATAAACTACCTAGTTTCGGGTATTCTGTTATAAGCAACAGAAAATGGACTAAGGCAGCTGATCTCTGTGCATGTCTTGAACTCATAGTTGAAACTCAGAATGGATTTTCTTTCTTACCAGGTGTTGCCCTGGTTCCAGCTATATTGTTCCCCAAAGGTGCTGTAGGAGCCATCTTGGTGTTTGTAGTTCAGCTGTCTCTGGTAACCTGAAATGGAAGGCTTCAGATGGTTCATGAAGCATTAAAGACAGGCCATCATATGTGCGGGCTGATGCATCCAGGAGCCGTGGACATTTTATGACCTCCTGTGATCTGCCATAGTTTTGTGGATGTTATGGATATATCAAAACATAACATCCTATGAGAGTGTGGGAAGATAGCTGTTTTCGTAAAAATTATCATCATGGGTTAATATTTGATGATATAACTGAAGCCTAATTGGGAAAAGTTTCATTAGAGTAACAAAATACATTTTTCTCTGTCTCACTTACCACTGATGAGATAGCCAATGGCCTTGGCCTTGATCTCCTCTGTCAGCTGCTGGGTTTCATTCAGATAGCTCAAGACATAGATGTTAGGAGCAAATAGGACCATGTTCTGTTCTCCACAGCCATAGGGCATCTGGAGGAGATTTTGTATATTTTGCATAGCAGAACCTAGTATGTCACCTGGGGAATGTGAAAGATTGGATGTCAGAATAATCTCAGCTCATAAGCAGCCAACATGGTTTTAAAAAATGGCTTTTATATTCAGAGTCACATGCTCTACCATTTAGATAAGAAAAGTTTTACACATAGAGTGTGACTTCCAGGATCCTAATAAGAATAACAGCTATCGAGAACTTGATAATTCAAATACAAATACAAATAGATGAGATGTGCGGTGGCAGCTCTTTTGGTTCAGGTTACTAAATGCAAAGTGACTCACCCAGAACTGAGAAAGAGGCTCTGGCAGATTCTTTGACCACATTTGATGGGAGCTTCAAGGACAGCTGCTCAGACACCTCAGCACCTTTAGAAACAGACAGCACATGTTAAAGAAGGACATCTATGACTACAACATCATTTACTGATTATAATGTAGTGAGAGCCCCAGAACCACACTGCCTGGATACGGTGCTGGCCCTGCTTTGCGACCTTGGGTAAACTGTGATGATTTGATGAAAAAATGCATGTAAAACATTAGAACAGTATTTGCAACATATTAAATTTCAATGAAAGTGAGCAATTATCATTGTGGTTATTTTACTATTATAGTTAGCAGTAAAACTATTATATCTCCTTGAGGAGCTCTGGATGCAAGGAATAAGAATTTGACTTAATGATAAAATTACCTTTAATAGTCTAATTTCTTTTGGTACTCTGTGACTTCCAGAGTCCTTCCTCTTCTCATTTAACTATGTTTTGCATTGCTGTGCTCAGAAGCTTTCTAAAAGAAGTCTAGGACCTGTTGGGGAACTACCATTCTCTACTTTATTGAAGCACTAGTAAGACTTACGCCCATAACAATACAAATTACTGGCTGTCTCACTCTATATAATATTTGAATGAATTTCCATGTTTATAAACAGATAATATGAACATATCTTAAATTAGCCCTTCTCAAATGATAAATACAGTGCTGTATGCACTCTGGATAAGAAATAATGATGCAGCAGTGCTGTATAAAAGCTACAACTGGTTCTTAAAGATATGATGAGGTCAAATGTAAGTTATTTTCTGAATGGACAACACACAGTTTTTAGTGACAAGGGTAGAAAATGCCTATGTTTCATCATCAGCTGTTTTAGAGACGATCTGTTGGGGTTCAAACTTGTCATGGCCCTGCTCTCCTTCATTGTTTTTTTTTTTTCACAGAGTCTTGCTCCTTCACCCAGGCTGGAGTGAAGTGGCACGATCTTGGCTCACTGCAACTCTGCCTCAGGGGGTTGAAGGGATTCTCCTGCCTCAGCCCCCAAAGTAGCTGTGACTACGGAGCCCGCCACCACGCCTGGCTAATTTTTGTTGTTTTAGTAGAGACAGGGTTTCACCATGTCAGCTAGGCTGGTCTCAAACTCCCAACCTCAAGTGATCCTTCCGCCTCAGCCTCCCAAAGTGCTGGGATTACAGCTGTGAGCCACCGTGCCTGGCTAACGCTGCCCTCTTTCTACCTCGTCCTGGGACACTCGAAGCTTCTGCAGCTGGGCCTGTCGGTGAGTAGCCACTGGGCTATTCAGGCAAAAGAGCTACATGTGAACCAAGAAAGCCCAGGTATTAGTCCTTTCTGTACCCCCCGAGCCACATTAACTTGCTCTCTTGGCCTCAATGTCTTCATTTGTAAAACCTATCTAAAGAAATATTTAGTATTACGCTGCCTTTAATGGAACACTCGGACAACTGGGAGGTAACATCTATAAATGTGCATTGTAACTTGAGGTTTATACCCCTGTGTGGCTTTGATCTCACTACGATTATGGGAGGGACTCTTACCCGAGGCACAGGTCATGGAATTGAAAGTCTTTTCTTTCTCAATACCTTCAGCCTTGGATGAAAAGAAAGAGAAGGAGCAAAAAAATATAAACATCCCAGTGAGAGGAGAACCACCACAGATTCCTTTCTTCGATGGGTAGGGTTTTCATGACTGATGTTTGGCATCCTACTTTTTATCTTTGCAACTTTTATTTTAAGCTCAAGGGGACGTGTGCAGGACGTGCAGGTTTGGTACACAGGTAAGCGTGTGCCATCGTGGTTTGTTGCACAGATCATCTCATCACCTAGGTTTTAAGCCCAGCACCCATTAGCTATTCTTCCCGATGATCTCCCTCCTCCCACTGCCACCCTCAGACAGACCCCAATATGTGTTGCTGCCCTCCATGTGTCCATGTGTTTGCATCATTCAGCTCCCACTTATAAGTGAGAACATAACATTCTCTTGTTATACAAATCCATAAACATTGAAGAACCAGGGAGGTTGGTAGAGAGAAAATGCGAAGAGATAGTAAGGGCAGTGAATCAAAGGTAATAGGTATGAGAGATAGATGAATCTTAGGAGAGAGGTGGAGATCAGGAGGTTGCACTCAAATAATTATTGAAAAAATATTAACAATAGCTGGCAGTGTCTGCTGCAGGGCTTTTAGGATGAGAAATCCCATTAGTCTTACAGGATGTATTGTGTGAGCAAAATTTAATGGTCTCAAGAGTGACCACCCAGTGTTTTATTCTTACAGTTGTTAGGGACTCCCCAAAATATGTTACCTCCACCAACAAAGTTTTGATGACTGTGTCTTTTCTTTTAATCTCAGGGACCTCAGCAGCCTCATTTCCACAGAGTTCTAGGGACTGCATTGCCTCTGCACTCACTGAGAAGTTCACATTCCCTAAAACAAGGAATATTGAAAACATGAGTATCCATCTTGATAGTCCAATCACCTTTAAGGGGTATACTTTAAATTTACAATTGGTTAGGATAGAAAATAAAGCTAATAAAAAACCCAAGAAGGTTAGTGCACACTGAGTAGCCAATATCCAGGAGTAGTGATTACAGGGACTAGCCTGGGTGAGAATAGTGGGGGGAGGTCATTGTAGGTAGAAATAGGAATAAAATGTAACTTTATAGAATTATATCCATGGCAAGTAAAGCAGAATATGATGAAAAAAGTGCTCAGATAGCCACCATCCTTGTTGATTGATAGGCCCTTTGGGGTACTGTCACTCACCCAGAGTTTTAGGAGTCACTGTCCAAGACAAGGTTTGCCTCTCATTTCCACAGATACAATAGGATTCTTCTCCCTTTGTATTTTGGGAAGCCAGGAAGGCCAGAGAGGCTTTCAGCTGCACACTGACCTATCACCCCATGTGAGGCAGAGACAGAAATCATCAGAATATGGGAAGACACGAACATGTAGAATTGGGGCCAAGTGTGGGATGCTGCAGTAAATTGGGATTTGTAAGAAAAATGTATGTCACATAGATTCATCCATGCTTTAAGAAGCATGGAAATGGCAGTGACGCAAATCAAGGTTGGTTATGTATTAGGAGGATTTGGCATTTGCATTAGGGTAGGCTGGGGAAGTGTGCAGACGTGGCAGTGGTGCAGGAAAGGGAAAAGCAGTGGTTGTACATTGCCCTATGGAGTACTGGCTGCTGCTATGTAGATTTCCTTACTGTTTCTTCCTTCCTCCCTTCTCCTTTTTCTTACAACAAATATTACGTGTCTACTCCATGTGAGGCATAGAACACTGGGAATGATGGATGAGCAGCCTCCGATCTTGAGGATATTGTGTTATAAGAAAGATGATCTATGGGAGGCTAAAGTAGGAGAATTGCTTGAACCAGGACCCGGGAGGCAGAGGTTGCAGTGAGCCAAGATCGCGCCACTGCACTCCAACCTGGGATACAGAGCGAGACCCCATCTCAAAAAAAAAAAAAAAAAAAAAGAAAGAAAGAAAGATGATCTATACACAACCACAACTACATAATTTACAAAGAGATAAGTGCTATAAGATAAATTAAAATGAATATTGTGGAGATTTTGAGATGTGGGCTTAGAGCATGACACTCATGGAACTGAGGAAGCTGAGTTGTGTGTCAGCTTCAAGAATGTTCCTGGCATAAAACCTAACTGCAGCAAAGGATTCTGCAAGTCCTAAGAAATAGAAAAGCAAGCTGTGGCTTAAAAAGCCATGGTTTAAGCACCCATAGCACATATATCACTGTAGTATCTCTCTGATCACGTCTTGCTTTGCTTAGCACTAATTATTCACATTGCGAACACATAATTCTCTGAATTATCCTTAGTCTCGGGAACAGAATCAGTAGGTGACTGATCAAAGGAATCTTTTGTTCTATCCACCCTGTCTCTTCACCCTCATTTTCCTTACCCGGATGCATTTGGGAAGGTAGTTTAGGACAGTGGCCTTGAGTGTGAAGACCTCTCCACGGATCACAGAGTAGGGCATTGTGAGCTCCACAAAGAAGGGCTGGAAGGCTCGGAGAGAGGCGGTGGGAGAGATACCAAGTCCAGCGTCTTCGGACAGGCAGAAGGCCCCTGCCTTCCACTCGGTGATGGTGTCTGGGACTGTTACTCCTACCTCAGCCTCACCCGATGAGCTGGGGAGGCGGGTAATTGAAGAATAGAAGTAACGAATGTGAGCCACTTTTCTCAAGTAAGAATCAATCTGCTTAAACTAATGTCAAGGACTGAATCCACTTAAGGGTATATAGGTGTTTGCATGCCTGTGAACACTAGATTATGTCCTGGGATCTGAGTCAGGAAAATAAAAGACACTAAATGGTACCTCTCCCCCTTATCAGCAAGTGGTCATATCCCAGATGTCTGTACTTTGAATACAAATATTTGAATTGTGATTCATTTTGGTCTTTAACTTCTCTTGCTATTGCATAATCTCATAAATAAGCATTTTTAAGTGACCAACGGTTAGACCCTTGGATTAACATAGCCTGATTTGTTTATGTGCCTGCTCCAGCCCTGATATTTACAGAAGCCTCCCTGAATGACATTAAATAGTACATATAGAATTGGATATTTATAGCTCCCATCTCTACTATTTGACAGCATCAGGAATAATTATTTTAGAATTGCTCGGCACTGAGACAATTACATTAATAAGCTTATACAGCTGCAGAATTTAACTTAAGTCTATCCTAAAAAGTAAGAGATTAAGATAATTATCCAGAACTTTTCAGAAAGATTATCTTAGAATTGAAAATGCTGGAGGAACCACATCCCCTCCCCTCTAGCCAATGGAGGAAAGTCAATTCACTTACTCCACTGCCACCAACTCCCAGATCCAAGTCTCAGGAAAATAACTCCGCACCGTTTCAGGGACTGGCCCTGAATTTTGTTCATTACTTACAGGTATTATATTTTGTGCACCAAATTGTGGAGAATATGGCATCGCTGCCATTCCTGAAGCTACTAAAGAAAGAGAAAATTGTCTAGTTAGGGAAAAGCATGCATTCATTTCATGGTGCACGTGTGAGACTTTGGAGAACAAATTTTCAGTTTTTCTGCTCAGAGTGTCCTAAAAGTCTTGTAGAAGTTGTAGAACTTGGGAAATACTTTGTGATCCCTCATTCTCTGAACAGAGAGGAGTCTTTGTCAGAGGTGAAAATTCTGTGTATCCCAGACATAGCATAATTTGATGTGAATGGAGGCTGGGAAAACAAGATCACTTGGAGACAGTTTTATGGGTTTTGCAGGGAAGGGCTGGTTTTGAGGTTAAGACAATATTGCTTCATTCTTAGAGAAACTGAGGAATTGTAAAATGCTCTTTAGGCATTGCGAGTGGTGGCTATACCGAAAATGGAATTATCAGTGGAGTGAACAGAATTTAATGACTTAAATTCTGTGTACTGTATGGAAGTTTGCAAAATGTTATTCTCTGGGTAATAAGATGAGGGCATTAGATTTTATTCTATTTATTTTTTGACATCTGAAATAAATAATTCAGATGTCAAAACAGATATTTTCATTAGGAATAGCTGTATGGTTGACACAAAGAAATCATTTACTAACTTGACAGGGCAGAGAGCTGGACATGAAGGCAATTTTGTCCATGTTGTGCCTGAAATCATGCTTAAAAACTGAATTTAAGTCTCCCTCCATGTACCTCATGTGATATTTCAGAAATGCATCAGTAGTAATTTCTTAAGTGAATATTACACACCTTCTTGCCCCATGTCCTTCCAAATGGCAACGATTTCTATCTTTGACTCTGATTTCTCACTGATGTTCTGTCTTACATTGTCTTCACTGTTATCTTAAATATTGAAATATCTAAAAGGAGGATGCACCTAAATGAACTATTTTCCATTTTCTCCTGAAGATGTCAAGGGCCCTTCAGTTAACAAGCCCTGGCATCTGGTGGAAGATGGCTATATCCTTCCCACCCTTACTGTCAACTTGATTTCCATGTGTCCTTTCATAGTCTCTGGATCTCAGTTTTATTTTTCTGCATCCCACAACTAATAAACTCTACAGTAAATGCCTTTAAACCGGTTTCCCAGGACAAAAATCTTATTTGTTTTTCTTGCTCTTTTTTTTCCATTTGACTTCATGAAAATGTGTTGAGTTCTGGACTAAGCCACTCATACTCTGCCTTGCTGCTGATCCCAAAATACTTTCAATGAAATGTTCTGTTCATAACTTAAAAATGGCTGCTCAACCCAGCTTCATAATACTTTTTTGACCTTTAATACCTTCAAGCAAACAACAACAATTAAAACAAAAAAACTCTGAAAATTTTCTTTTAATTTAGAATCTAGTGTGATCGAGACACATATTAGATCATGTCACTCCTCTTCTGAAAAGCTCCTTATTTCACTCATAGTATAAAAGTCAAGTCCTTACTATGACCTACAGGCCCCATACAATGCAGCCTCAAGTATTGTTTTGATCTCTGTCTCCAGCTGCTCACTCTTTATTCTCTCTGTTTTAACCACACTGGTTTCCTTTCTCTGCCTAGAACAATTCAGGCATGCTCTCACCTCAAAGCCTTTGAGAGATAGACTAGTGAGGAGGTTATGAACGTGGGATGTAGAATCAAACTCCCTGACTTGAATCTACCCCATGCCACACTTATTGGCTATGACATCTTAGTGGCTGAATTATTTAACCTTTCTGGACCTCAGTTTTTCTACATGTAAAATAGTGTTAAGAATACACACCTTATAAGGTTACTGCAAGAATGAAGGAAATCTATCTAAAATAATCTATCTATAACTATCTATCGGTCTATCAATCCTCTACCTATCTCCCTATTATCTATCTCCTGGAGCATAGAAAGCACTCCATAAGCATTTTCTGTTATTGATATTGTTTCCTACGACTGTAATACTCTTTTTTCCAGAGAGTCATATGGCTTGTTGTCTTCCTTCAAATGTTTGCTCAGATTTCACTCTCTTGGTAAGATCTTTACTGACCCCCTCATTTACATTTGCAACTTCCTTCAGTCTCAAAATCCCTTTCCTACTTGAATTTTCCTATATAGTATTTATGACCTTATAGTGAGCCATACAATATTCTCTCACTGCCTATTAGAACATAACCTTCATATTGTTGAAGATTTTTGTTCTTATTATTTGTTATATAAATAGAAACTAGGTCAATAAATATCGAACACATGAATTTAAATTTATAACTTCTTAATTTTTATAGTTTCAGGTACTAGTCATGTCTTTCATTGTCTGGCACAGTTTTAGTTCCTTGTTTAATTTAATTATTATCTTTCACTCTTCCTCTCTTTTAGGCCCTACCAACACTAGTGAATTTATCTTCTTCAAATCTTCATATGTACAGTTCTTTTTTTTTTCTTTTTTAAGACGTTATCTTGCTCTGTCACCAGGCTGCAGTGCAGTGGCGCAATCTTGGCTCACTACAACCTCTGCCTCCCAGATTCAAGTAATTCTCCTGTCTCAACTTCGGGAGTAGCCGGGACTACAGGCATTTGCCACCATGCCCAGCTAATTTTTGTATTTTTAGTAGACATCGGTTTCACCATGTTGGCCAGGATGGTCTCGATCTCCTGACCTTGTGATCCACCCACCATGGCCTCCCAAAGTGCTGGGATCACAGGTGTGCGCCACCGTATGTACTCATATGTACTGTTCTATACCATCAAACACCTTCAGGGTGTATGATGGCTTCCCAAATAGTCATGGAAGTGGCTATTTTCCTTGAACTTATTTTCAAGAAATATCACAAGATATTTTAGTTTTCTTAGCTCTTTTATTTCCTCATATACCTGACTCATTTATCTCTACTAATTTCAATCTCCGTGGTTTATTCATCACACATTTTAGAAGCTCTTTTTTTTTTCTGAGTGTTATTATATGATCCCACATCCATTTTTTTTGTTTGTTTTTTTTTTTTTTTGAGACGGAGTTTCACTCTTGTTACCCAGGCTGGAGTGCAATGGCGCAATCTCGGCTCACTGCAACCTCTGCGTCCTGGGTTCAGGCAATTCTCCTGCCTCAGCCTCCTGAGTAGCTGGGATTATAGGCATGCGCCACCATGCCCAGCTGATTTTTTGTATTTTTAGTAGAGACGGGGTTTCACCATGTTGACCAAGATGGTCTCGAACTCTTGACCTCGTGATCCACCCGCCTCGGCCTCCCAAAGTACTGGGATTACAGGTGTGAGCCACCGCGCTCGGCCCCACATCCATTTTTAATAAATTCCAGAATGTTTCCTTCATCCCTAACTTCCATGGTTTAAACTCGATGTTTGTTCTATTTAAGTCTCTTGGCTATTTTCCTTTCCCTTATGCTCTATTCTCATTATTTATATAATATCTTTGATATATGACAAAATCATATTTACCATTTTTGAGATATTGTTAGAAATGTGTGCTATCACTGAATGTATAAACAGTCCATGGCCCTTTAACAGGTGTCATTTTCTTTATAATAAAGGTCATTTAAAGATGGATATTAATCTTAAATGTAATCTAAATGCCAAGGAACATAGAAATGCTATTTAAACAATCAAATGTTCTTAATTTGCTTTGGCACATTGTATTTAGTTATTTTGTTGGGCATTTTCCAAGGTCTTGAAGAACCATTAGTCAAAGTCCTTCAATTTATTAATGAAGGATTTGAGGCTTAGAGAGGAGATGTGACACACCCACTTCACATATAGGACTTCTGATTTCCAGTCTGAGCTCAAGGCATATAGATTTCGTTAGCAGATGGACATCAGGAATATTTTGGAGAAAAGCGGAGTGGAATCAGGTGAGAGGGATGAGGCAGGGCTGGACAGTGTTCCAGTGTAAGCAGACCTGGTGATGGGACAGACGTTTTAATAAGTTGAAGGGTCTTGAAAATGTCTGCTTTATTTGAGTAGTGGTTTTGGCCAAAGATTGGGAGATATTTCTGAGATGTTCACATTGTTTCTTGTCACCAGTGAAGGATTTTGTCCTTCTTTATGTTTTTTAAAATACAGCATTCCTATGAATGTCTTTCCTGTTTCCATAATCAGAATTATTCTCTCCTTCCATTGTAAGCATTTTCCTTCTCCTATGGTACATCAGAATCTTGTATTTTATCTGATTTTGTGCCCTGAAATATCTGATGTATCTAAAAAAAATCTCTGATCAGTTTTGGTTATCACCAGCTAAGTTAGCAAGAAACAACTAATTTGAATCTTGGTTTCTCTGTGTGTATAAAATGGAAATAGGGCTATATTATCTCATTTTATATTTTTGGCATAGTAATATTATTGGACATGAAATAAAATTAAAAGCAAATTGCTATTATACCTCCATAGTATCCTTGACTCACTCCTCCTACAGGCGCAATGGGGGTGACTGAACATGACTTTCGTTTTCGGACTTTTGAGTTAGTGAACACCTTTAATCCCATCTCCTGGAAAAAATGATTATTCCATCAACTTGTAAGCTTGATTAGAATATATGAAACATACTATCCTTAGAAACTGCCTTATGTAATTCCAGTAGCCTTATATTAATTCTATGGTGAAACACCCTACAGTAAATCTACAGTAGTGAAATGACTACACTTACGGATTATTAAGATTGTATTCTTTATTTGCTATTGTTTACTTTGTGAAAAAAACCCTTACACATAACTAAAAAGTATCTGGATGAATAGGCAGAGGTTAGATCTAGCCCTGACTGACAAACTGAGTTTTGGCCTGATCCTGACAGAGACTTTAACCTCTTTATGGGCTTCATTTTTCTCCACTGAAAAATGAAGAGGCACATCTAAATAATTATTAAAATTATGCATAGATACAGAGTTTTATTAACATTCAATAAATCACAAGCCAGCATGTTAAGAAGTAGGGAGAATTTTACCTTGAGGAAGCCATAAACATCTGCTTCATCATTACTTGATAAGGGAACATAGAAGGCCCCATAATGAAAGATGAAGGGGTCGGGGCAGGGTTCGTGTTCTCCCTCCTGCTGGTTCACATTGTCAGGAAAACCGGTGAGATCCTTCACAGTTAGCAGATTATACACCTACAGCAGTGGGGAGATCAAAGGCAGAGCTCTTACTTTGCTTTTGAAATAGTCACAAGGAACTGAGAGAAATATCATAATAATCAGCAATCTTTTCTAGAGTACGTTCATGTAGCTGGCACCTTAGAGATAAGTTGAAGATTTTGCTTATATTTAACAGCGTTGTTTTGTTATAAAGAAATAAAATCTACTTGGAAAAATGTTTCTAAAGATTAATAAAATCTTAAGTTATGAAGGATTAATTAAAACTTCATTGTAGAACCTAGAGGTAAAAGTAGACTATAAAAAATATAGAAAAAGATCTGACTTGCATCTGTGTTTGATTAATGCTTAATGCCCCGAGGAATTTAGCTACACATTATTATTGCCACCTGTTAAATATCTATGTCTACTCAGGCTTATTCTCAGATAGAAAATCATATACACTGCCGATTAGAAGCAGCTGCCGTCTGCAGCACTTACGAAGTGGAATGAAAAGGGGTGAGTAAATTCAGCACCTTCAATTTGAAATATTCAGGTTTTCACAATGAGACTGACTAGGCAAGCAAGTTTACCCTCAGAGAACAAAGGAAAGCAGCGGGGGTGGAGATGGAGGTGGGGGAGGGCAACAGAAGGAATCCCCACTGCCAGCCAAGGGAAGCAGTGGGTGATTGTGCGACCTTGCCTGGGAAGTCACACTTCTTCCATGGATCTTTGCAACCCGTGATCAGGAGATACCCTCGTGAGCCCATGCCACCAGGGCCTTGGGTCTGATACACAGAGCTATGTGGAGTCTTGGCAGAGCAGCCGCTCAGGCACACAGAGACCCAGGAGTTTTACGTATTCCAGCCCTGGGATCCACAGAAAGGCAGGAAATCTGTTTGTACAGATCCCTAGGAAGGAAGCTGAATTCAGGGAGCCACAGACCATCATCCTGTGGACCCCACTTCCACAGCACCTCACAAGTTAAGACCCATGGTCTTGGAATCCCAGCCAGCCAATGGCAGTGGGTTGGAGCCCACCTGAGATGGATCAGAATTCCTGGCAGGAGAGGCGGCTGCCATCTCTGTGGTTCTGAGGGCTCAGCCACTCCATCCTGCAGGCTTGGAAAATACACATGATCTGGATGCGGAAGGGTCCCCCACAATGCAATACAGCTCCCTTGCCAGATTGTAACCAGACTGCTTCTTCAAGTGGGACCCTGATCCATTCTTCCTCACTGAGTGGGACCTTTCCGTAGGGGCTTCAGGTACTCCAGCCAGGGTTCTACAGACAGAGCTTTGATCTCTCCCTGGGATGGAGCTCCCAGGGGGCAGGGGTGTCTGCTATCCCTGCAGTTTGGTTGACTCTGACACTCCAACCTGCTGGCTTTGGGGAATACAGGTGGTCCAGAAAGGAAGGGTCCCACCCAATGCAGCACACCTGCTCTGTCAAAAAGCAGCCAGACTGCTTCTTTGAACAGGTCCCTGATCCCATTTTTCCTGACCGGGTGAGACCTCCCAATGAGGGTCCCCAGCCACCTTCAACAGTTGCATGTGGGCTGGCAACAGGTTAGTACTCCCGTGGGACAGGGCTTCCAGAGAAAGCCACAGGCTGCCATCTTTGTTGTTTCATGGCCTTTGCTGGTGATACCTCCAGGTACAAGAGAAACCAAGGCAACTGGGGTCTGCAATGGACCCCCAGCAAACCGCAGTAGCCCTATGATCGAGTGGCTTGACTGTTAAAAGAAAAACAAAGAGGAAACAACAGCATCAACAAAAAGGACCCCACAAAAATCTAATTCAAAGGGCAGCAACCTCAAGGATTAAAGGTAGATATGCTGCAAAGATGAGAAGGAATTAATTCAAAATGAAAACCGAATTAATTCAAAATGAAACTGAAAACACAAAATGTCAGAGTGCCTCATCTCTTCCAAATGACTGCAATACCTCTCCAGCAAGGGCACAGAACTGAGCTGAGGCTAAGATGGTTGAATTGACAGAAGTAAGATTCATAAGGTGGATAATAAGGAACTTTGCAGAGCTAATGGAGGATATTGTAACCCAATGAAAGGAAGCTAAGATTCATGATAAAACAATACAGAAGCTGGTAGCCAGAATAGCCAATTTAGAAAGGAAGATAATCAACCTGATAGAGCTGAAAACCATATCACAGGAACTTCACAATGCAATCACAAGTGTCAATGGCAGAATAGACCAAGAGGAGGAAAGAATCTCAGAGCTTGAAGATTATCAATCTGAAATAAGACAGGCAGACAAGAAAGAAAAAAAAAGAATGAAAAGAAATGAACTAAACCTCTGAGAAATATGAGATTATGTAAAAAGACCAAACCTATGATTGATCAGCGTCCTTGAAAGAGACAGGGAGAATGGAACCAAGCTGGAAAACATACTTCAGGATATCATCCAGGAGAACTTCCCCAACCTAGCAAGACAGGCCAACCTCCAAATTCAGGAAATGCAGAGAAGGCCAGTAAGATCAACCCAAAGACAAAATCATCAGGTCCTCCAAGGACAAAATGAAAGAAAACATATTAAGAGCAGCCAGAGAGACAGACTAGGTGGCCCATAAAAGGAAACACATCATACTAACAGTGGATCTCTCAGCCAAAAACATATAAGCAAGAAGAAATTGGGGACCAATATTGAAGAATCTTTTTTTTTTTTCAGAGACAAGTGAACATTTATTTTTGTACCTTTCCTCCTATGTATATTTCAAATCTTTTTCACAACAAGGCCCCAGGAATCTCCAGATTCACTTATGTCCCTGGGCTTGTCCACTGCTGCAGGAGTCTTAGGGAGCCTTGTACAAATGCTAGAGTTACTCAGTTATTAACATTAAACCCTAGGATAGGAGATGCAGCAAAGTAGGACTCCTTCCTCCACGGAATGTGCTGATTTCAGACAAGGCAATAGCCAATGTAGAAAACGCCGGAATTTTTCCTTGGGACTAGACTGTGATGAGAGGTGCTTGCTATGAACATAAGCTACTATTTTTTCTTTTGAGACAGCGTTTTGCTCTTGTTGCCCAGGCTAGAGTGCAATGGCACGATCTTGGCTCACTGCAACCTCTCCCTCCTGGGTTCAAGTGATTCTCCTGCCTCAGCCTCCCCAGTAGCTGAGATTACAGGCATGGGCCACCACACCCCACTAATTTTTGTATTTTTAGTAGAGATGGGGTTTCACCATGCTGGTCAGGCTGATCTCAAACTCCCCACCTTAGGTGGTCCGCCTTCCTCAGCCTCCCAAAGTACTGGGATTACAGGCATGAGCCACCATTCCTGGCCAGCTACTGTCTTTTCTTTGACCCTTCCTTTCCAGTTTTTGAAGATAAAGAAGGAAATAATCTCCAAAGATACTTAATACAAATTCTCCAAAACCGAAAAACACATGCTTCCACTTCATTGATAAAAATTTATTACAGTTTGGCACCTGGGTCTAGTTCAGTTGGCAGATGAGCTGATTGATGCATTCAGCCCGATAGCCAAGTGTCCCCATCTCCTTGAGGAAGCCCACTCTATTTTTGGTAGCATGACGGGCCACTGAGAGGTGGAAAGGGCACAAGACCCATGAGATCTCCTGGAAATGCTTCCCCGGGAAGGCAGTTTCATGAATGAGGTCTTCCAAGCAAATGACACCAAACTTCCCCAGGTGCTCCTCCATCACCGTGTTGTCTGTCAGAGGGATGGTCTTATTCTTGACCTTGGCTTGTCCATGTTTCAAAATGAGTTCCCAGACAGAATTCAGATTTGGAAATCCCCAGGTCACATAAGCTTCCACTATTTGCAGCATTTTTAGGTTCTGGGGGGTGACTTTTACAAAGACGCCACTAAAAATTTTCTTTAGGCGAAGTCTTGCAATGGTTCTTTGCACCAGTAAACTGACACCATCAATTTTTTCTATTCATATGACAAAGGCATGTTTACCTGGCAATTTGAAGGCATGAGGCTTTACTTCTAGTCATCTGACATGTACCTTGTCACATTTCCACTGCCAGGAATCATGTAGGAATAATTCCAGTCACTCAAACCTAGGCCCTTTTCCTTTCCTCTGCTCCTTCTTTGCCAAAAGTGCTTGCTTTGCCTGAGTTGCTTTCAGGGCTTGATAAGTCTTCTTCTTTTTCAGAAGATTTTCTGGAACCAAAGGGATTTTTTCTTTGCTCTTGCTCTGCCATCCTTCCAGTGTAGCAGCTACTGATCAATATTCAACAACCTTAAAGAAAATAATTTCTAACCCAGAATTTTATACCTGGCCAAACTAAGCTTCATAAGCAAAGGAGAAATGAGATGCTTTTCAAACAAGTGAATGCCTAGGAAATTCATGACCACAAGGCCTGCCTTGCAAGACTCCTGAAGAAAGCACTAAATATGGAAAAGAAAGACCATTACCAGCCACTGCAAAACACACTGAAGTACACAGACCAGAACACGATGAACTAACCACATAAACAAGTCTGCCAAAAAGCATCACGATCAAATTCACACATAAATATACTAACCTTAAATGTAAATCGGCTAAATGCCCCAGTTAAAAGACACAGAATGGCAAGCTGGATAAAAGCCAAGACCCATCAGCATGCTGTCTTTAAAAGTCCCATCTCATGTGCAAGGACAGACACAGGCTCAAAATAAAGAGATGGAGAAAAAATGTACCAAGCAAATGGAAAACAGAAAAAAGCAATGCTAGTTTCTGACAAAACAGACTTTAAACAAAGATCAAACAAACAAAGGTATTAAATAATGGTAAAGGGTTCAATTCAACAAGAAAGCTAATTATTCTAAATATATATGCACCCAGTACAGAAGCACCCAGATTCAGAAAGCAAGTGCTTAGATGCCTACAAAGAGACTTAGACTCCTACACAGTAATAGTGGGAGACTTGAACACCCCACTGACAATATTAGATGGATGATTAAGACAGAAAATTAACAAAGATAATTAGGACCTAAACTCAGCCCTGGGTCAAGTGGACGTGATAGATATCTAAACAACTCTCCACCCAAATTCAACAGAATATACATT